GGAGATGATGGAAAATATGAAAAAGAATGCATACTTGATTTTTTAAGCTCCCTGGATCATCTACAGATTGCTCCAAGAGGCGCTTTAGTGTACTGGTGCTGAATGCAATATCTCCAGCAAGCATTTTGACTTGCTCAACTAAAAGATCCATCTGGTCTGAAATACAGAATTGTTCCTATAAAGCCAACAAGGAAACAAACTGGCTAACTAATGCAATCCGTATCATGACAATTGACATACTTCATGATGTGCATGTTAATTTTGTAAGATCAATCTTGTAATGAGATACGACTGTAGCAACCATCACACAGTTTCAACTCATCAGCATCAAAATCTTCCCATATAATTGGAATTTTTTTATGATGACTAGTTTAAAATTTCACAGATTATTACGTCATAAGAATATCCTCATGATTCCTTTTGAGGTGAGTATCTATCGGAAACAACCTCTCCATCCTTTGTGGTGGAGGCAAAGGTCTGTGTTCAACTGTACATCCAACCCTCCCAAGGTCTGTGACTCTGTGTGGGTTGTTATTCTTTCCTAAGAACATGGTACAAGGAAAAGTTTCCATTTTTGCATGATAATATAGTGTTGTCTTAGAATGTCAATTCTGAAATGGTACATGACTATAATAATTAGCTCAACTCATCATCATCTTGTGATATCTTTTCTATGCAAGGTTGCAAGTGGGAAAAGCTTTGGAATTTCATGTTTTATTTTTTTAGAAGGTTAGGTTGCTATAGGAAGGGCATCCGTCAACTTTGTCACTATTCGTGCATTTAGAGTATTAACTTGTTTTAGATAAGTAATAGGCACTAGTTTTCATGCTATTGATCCAATGTAGCTAGAGAGTAGAGAACAAAGGTAATAAAGATGAGTTGATACTATAGTTGAGATTAAGGTAATGATGACGATGAATATGATTAAAGCAATATAGAGATATACTGCAGGATGTTTTGAACTGGAAGAACCACTGATAAGTTCACCCGCTTGAGTTGATTCAGTAATTGTACTACCAGCTTGCGATAAATCATCATTCCAGTTGCTAGAAGTTCTTTTGTGCTTAGAAACCGAAGTATCTGATGGCGAGTTCTGTTTGTCGCTGTCTGTCAGCAAAGAACCATCACGGAGAGCATCTAACTTCTGATGAGGGTAAGGCAAACATAAAAGAAGATAATCAGTCTGCAACTTCATCATGACACAGACTACACACAAAAAGATATATGTATATAAGTAATTGGTTCAATAAACCTTAACGTGAAATGAACAAAATATTTATGAAAAAATGTGTATGCATTCTTCAATTAATTGGTTAAAATGACTAAATATTACAGCATAAAACCTTAAATAAGCAATCTAAAGTCTGGTGATTACTGAATGAACATTAAGATTTGATTAAATAATGAATCAACAAAATAGAAGCACCAAACAACCAAAAATATATTTTGTCAGTCAAGTTAGGGGGTGGGGGGCATACATTGTCTTCAGAAGCATAATGGCTTTGTGGATAGGAAGATGCATCACGGCCATCACCCAAATAGGTAGGTGCTGAATTCTTTGAAGAAACAAGAATGAGTTTTGTAAGCCTCTGGATTCTGCTCACTAGAGCAGCCTTAGCTTCCTCCTCCTCCTCCAATCTTGACTGCATTTTAAATTGTCCTTCTTCCAACTGTAAAATAGTCGAACCAAAGTACCAAACAGAGCCCGAGAGACATATAGTAAGTCCACTAATAAATTTAACTAGTGCATAAAGTTCAAAAAGACAAATATTGAGACTTGACATGTACCTTCTGTTTTAAGCTTACTATTTCTTCGTGATTGACACCCACAACCATCCCACTTCTTAGCTGATCAAGTTCTTGCTTGAGGCAAGATATTTCTCTTTGGTATTTCTTAATCAAAGATTTTTCATCTATAATCTGTAAGAAACAAACTCAAACATTAAGATTTCCTTAGCCAAAAACCTCCAATAAGTCCAGAGAACATTATAACAATATTAATCTATAACCTTATTGCGTGATGCATATATTTCCACTTGTTTTGCCCTACTTGCAAATTTTAACGTATTGTGAGTTTCCTCCAAATTACTGGATGCAGGAGTAACTGTACAGATGAGCTGAATTGAAAGAGCAAACCATAGAAAGTGTGAGTATTTTCTCATAGGACTATATTATTTTCCCATCAACTTTTTCTAAGGCATGCTGCATGCAGGTGAAAATATTAAAGCTTAGAGAGGAATAAACTAAAGAATGGCATGTAATAGAAAAGTTTAGTACGATAAGATATATGTATGAAATGAAATGTAGTATAGCACTTACAGAAACATGTCCACGCCCACTCAATGAAGACTGTAACAAGCGAGTGAGTTTAGAATCTCTATAGGGAACATGTGATGCCTTCCCTTCACTTAATTTTCCAATAACCTTAACAATCGTCAGATACAAGCATAAGGTTGAGAGAGAGAGAGAGAGAGAGAGAGAGAGAAGCATAAGGTTAAACAGAAAACAAAGGTGGTGTAGTGTTGTAAACCATTTTAAAGGGAAGCATCATAAAACTTATACCATTAACGTGCCCAGTCAACAAAAAGTAAAATTCAGATGTGCTGTGTGCAGTAATAAAGCAAAAATGTTTATTCATGTTTATGTACACATATCAATAACATTGATGCAATGCCTGAGATTAGATATTATTTCCTGATAAAGGATGTCTAAGTACTTACTGTTCCAAGGGTTAAAAGACTTTTATTTATGTATGATCCTTCCTTTCTCCTTACTCCCGTTGTTTCTGTCTTAGAGCTCTCAGACCCAGCTAAATCAATTAAGTTCTATATCAGAGAGAAAAAGGCTACAAGTCAGTAATAGGCTGCTGCAATTGAGTTGTTAAAAATGAAAGCAAAATGGAATACCAGTTGGGAAAATATCACTCCATCATAGTCATCTCCATGGGCACTACTTTCAATCATCTGCAGAGATAAAAGCACAAATTTTATGAAGAATTAAAACAGTCACAACAAATGGAACTAAAGACAAAAATCAAGCAATATACAATCGAAATAACATTATATAGAGTACATACATACTGGCAAGGTCCAAAATGAACTAACAAGCAAAACTGTACAGTTATGACATTTGTGCAAAGGACAAATACCAACAAATTACATTAGCATCAACAACACTAGAAATAAGACAAGTTACCAGACGATGACTACAAAATAACAGGTTTCCCAAAATGTGACCACAAAAATTTATTATTTTTAAAATGATTAAAAAGAATCAGTGTGACTAAAATCACCTTATGACAAAAGACTAATGTTTACTGGTCAGTCCTTTGAATGCAACCAACAGCTATGCAATGATCAAATATAGATTATTTATCAATAGGCTAGAAAAAGTAGCACACTAGAAAATGGCATAGTTATAATTTGCAAATTTCTATCATAGGCTCATAGCCAAATATGCAGACAGGAAATTCAATAATCCATGGTCCATATGCATTTCCATATATTAAACATGTGTGTAGCACTTTGATGGTGCCAGAGATATAAATTAAATACTACTCCCTCCGTCCCATAAAGTTCCGTACACTTTCCTTTTTTGGATGTCTCAAAAAATACCTTACACTTGTATTATTCCCTATTTTGGTAATCGATATGTGGCTACCAACAATTCTCTCTCCTCTAAACAAATTCTAACCAAACTTTTTACTTTTCAAAAACTTTCTTATACTCTGTGAATTAAAAGTGTGAAGGATTTTATGGGACGGAGGGAGTATTTCACAAGTGAACTGAGCAAAAATTATATTCTGCTTTAAAAAAAATATACCTAATAGGTGCATCAAATAATATGAATAAATTTGAGAGATTATTATGCTCAATTGGCACTGAATCAAGTCTTCTTGATAGCAAGGAGAGATTTCTCCCCCAATATAGGAAATGAATTGGGCATCATCAATCATGGTTACCGTACCGATTACACAAGAATACTTCCTCCTACGAAGAGTATGACATTCAACAAAACACTAGAAAACAGTGGAGAAAAGTCCAGTGTAGCAAATAATAGTACATGAAAAATTATAGGTATGTTTAAACAAAGCAGAAACTTGTATTACAAATTTGGTAAAAGAATTAACATGTTGAATCTGAACTCGATGAGGGATGAACTCCCCATTTGGGAAGCAGTTGTCACATTGTAATCATGCATCACACCTGTTTAGATATGCAAATCTGCAATACATCTTTGTGATTACTGCTACACCAAAAAAATCCATCAAATAGATAAGTAAACTATGCAAAAGCACAATATAAAGACCCAACAAAAGAATCACTAACAAATACATTTAGTGCATCTTAGCTATAACAAAGAAACAGTCTTGAAAAATAAAATCGTAGTCAGAAATTCATATTTCACTCCCTTGCAAATCAAATTCTGAAAGAAAATGACTACAATGAAAATGGAAACTTCTCTTTCCAAAAAAACAATGTGGAAACCATTCGATTAAGAACAAAGGTTTACAGAAACAGCATGAAAAGTTATGTACTATGAAGAATGCCCTATATGACATTAATTCAAACAGAAAAGGAATTGGAGGATGAAAGTGAAGAAAAAAACCAAGCCAATTCACTTCGTTTTACTTTTAAAAATGGTCCCAAAGTGGCATTGGATAATTTCAAGCATCCATTCAAAACAGGCACATTAGGGTGAACACTTGCTTTAATCTTCCATTGGTATCAACAACCATTGGAACCACAAGTCCTCCGCCTACATTGACATACAATTGAAAGGTTTCCAATTTCCACGCTGGTATTCTAATAATTTTGGAAAAAGAAATTTTCATTCCCATCGTACTAATTTCCTTCTCACATTTGACTTGCATTTAAGAATTTAAAGCTTAATATGAACTTCAAATTTCCAACTCTAATTCTATTCTTAGTAATTGTTCTCTTTGTAAGCGCAAAAGCATTTAATGTATTTCTAAGTGACTATTTTGTTGAAATCTTATATTTTATTCTGCAAATATTACATATATATTTGATGGATTTGTGGTGTGGCAGCAAAGTACAAATATACATTCCACAGGACCAGGTGCATTGCAGGATTACACCATGTTTATTCTTTTACCAAAGTTTGTAACACAAATTTCTACTTTATTTAAACATCACGTGTTTAATGTTTTTTTCCCATATACTATTATTTGTTACTATTCACCAATGTTTTTTATGTTTTGTTGAAAGTCTTAGTCTTCGAACCAATAGGGATACATGTTTAATTGGTAATTATGACTGACGGCGCACAATTCATTTGCTACAATGAGGAATTAATCAGCCATAGGACTCGAATTCTCGCACCTACCTGTCAAGAAGACTCCATTGCAAAGCAGCTGAGCGTAAGGATTTTCTGACATCTGTTCATGTTTCTTATGTACAAGTTAGAAAAAAAGATACTCCGTACTATGTAATACTTAATGCAACACAATTTTTTCATAAAGTTGACTTTTGAAGCAATTAATTTTGATCTTTGGCATGCTCAAATTTTTAAGAACATGATTATGCTATGGAAATGGATAAGGACCGTGAACTATTACCCATCACTCTTATTTTTACCTAACAACAATCGAGCATAACCATTTCAGATCATATCATCCAATCATACCAATAATCCAACGAAAAACCTACCAATGTAAATATAGTGTGACTGCGGCTGCTAAACAGATTAAAATTATTTGAACCAACATGACGATGCTCTGAAATAGAAAAACAATTATCAGTGAAGTACTTATGAGATTTGTAGGTAAAGATGCATAATATAAGCAAAAATTACCTTCCCCTGCAGCAATGAAAGAAAGTGCATGACCAGGAGACAAAACAACTTCTTCCTTTATACCTTCGACATAAGTACCCTATACATTCAAATATTCAATCACACAAAAGAGAAAAGGAGATCCTAACCCAGCCAACTTTTCTTACCCACCCCAGTTCCCTAAAAAACCTACTAGATATATTTTCCTAAACAACTCTCTTTTCTTAATCCACCTTTATTTTCTTAAGCCACTCACTTATTAAAGCCTGCACATCTTTTCTTACCCACCCCAATAAAAAAGTCAACAGAAAAAAAAATAACTTTCCTAAAATACTGTGAAGTGAACTGTGATTTTAATTGCAAGATGGGGGACAGGGGAGTACTTGTTATCAGGTATTTCAAGAAAAAAAAGTATTTATAGAAACACTTGTAATACAGAGTACAGAATGAAATGGAAATTGGCATCATAAATATGGTAAAAGCTTTAAAAAAAACTCTGTAGATAGTACAGGCTAATATAATCGACCAACTATAAAAGAAAAACCTGTGAATCTTCTCTAACACGCAGATTCTGCCCAGTGGGATCAAGCAAGTCATTGATCACCTGAAAGCATCATCATGAATAGTAGAAACTACATTTAAAAAGAGATGAAATTTCAAAACAAAACTACTAGAGAAAAAAAACATTTTCCTCCACTGGCACACATGAGAAATTGCAATAGTACAAGATTTAAGTGTTTAAAAATGCATAAACTTCTCAAAGGCAAAATCAGGTGAAAGAATTAAGGATGGGTTCAAATGTACATGAATCAGCGATTCAACATGGATAATGATTTATTTTTCCACAATGGAGAAAGCTGACCTCGTTGTAGATCTCAAGATATGATACACGAAGCAAAAATTCACTTCCTGGAGTCTGAAAGGAAAATTTAATCAAGTTAGCCCAACTATATATATGAAACAATAGAAGATCTGCATCTGCATATATCTGATTATTTGAATACTATGTACTGGAGCAGTAAGAAGGGCATGACACAAATATAAATCTGGATAAGTAAACGGTAACAAATAGTATCGATATATAATTGCATCTTTGAGTGAGATAGGTTGTACTCTTATTTATAGTAGGGTTTGCATTATTCAAAGAAATGAGAAGTTACAAGCACTTACATCTTGAATCATGCTGAAAACATCCTTTATCGCCAATGGAATTATACCTGGAGAACATTGATCTCCCTGTCGAAAACAAAACAAAAGCCCATTAAAAAACAAATGGTTGTGAGTGTATGGGTGTTAAAAACTTTAAATGAGCAAAAGGGGCATGCTACAAACCGGAAAAAAGAATATTTCATCTTTGTTTGGTCACAAGATTTGTGATTAGCATTAGCATTTTGAATAATTTTTTTATGGTTCATATTAACTTTAAAAATACAAACACTAAAAGCTACTGTAGGATAACATTTCCAAAACGCAATAGTTGAATGCTAAAGTTAATGCCAAACGAAGCCTTCATAAAGTTCAATGCCAGATGTGTTAGAATATAAAAAATCATTTCTGGACCACAACCACAAGCTTGAGCTTTTGGTTGAGTTGGTTCGTTGATAGGATGCATATTCAGATAGCTAGAGCATAGATAATTTGCAGGTGTGATGAAATTGAAATAAGTTTTTGGTACCTTCAGTGCTTGAAATATCATTTTTAACTTGAAAACTAATCACTAAATAGTGTTGTTACAGCTAATTATAGCCTTCTACAACAAATCTACAAAATGTGATTGGCAAAGAACAGAGTAACATACATGCATAGTATGTGTCTTTCCACTGCTAGTGACACCATAAGCAAATACAGTCCCTACAAAACAAGCAGGGCTTAGGTTGAAGATATGAACCAATGAAGTAATGGAACTAACCAAAAAACATAAACCATACTCAATAACAACTAGATAAGCTTTTCTTGTCGGAAAACTTTGAAATGAAAACAATATTTTTTCCCATTTCAGCATCCCTTCACACAATTATATATATTATTGGGAAACCTAGAACTGGATCAATTAAACCATGACCCCAATATAGTTAGGGTCAATTAAGTGTGCGAAGGGATGATTACATGGACACTTATTTGGATGGACACTTTCTATTTAGTGCAAGGATAGAAGTTTGTCATTGTACCAATAACCTCTATCTGTATAAAATATGCATACCATTTATCCCTTCCATTGCAGATTTGACAACCGGCCGAGCAGCAATTTCATAAATCTCCAGAGTACTTGTGTCAGGCCCAAACACTCTATCTAGCAGTACAAAAGAAAATGTAGTCATCACATTTCATTCCGGACTAATCAAATACTCAGTATGAATAAAAACAGTTCAAATGCTACTTTGATTGCTTCATTTCAAAAAGTACACAAATCTCACTATTGATCACAACTGAAATCAACAAGTGGGTGATGAGCGGTATAAACATACCAAATGCATATGCAGTTGCTGGATTATATTCATTTCTTACAACTTTATCACCATCTGGGTACCAGGCTATTTCATCCCCTCTCTGATATTCGCGTTCACTGCAACCACATATTCCAACAAATTGCAAATTTCACACAGCCGTATGTATCTCACAAGTCAATCCAATCTATTGTAATATGTAAAACATGATCACCTCCGACCAGTAATAAATAGATCTAATGCCGTTCAATAAGATCAAGTATCTACCTCATAGGACGAAACCTAACAGTCACAGATATACTATCCCCCGATCTGGAAGCATCCACTGGTTCATCAAGCATCTCATCCGCGGACGGATAATGGACCGGAGTACGATTTCCATAACTTTTGGAATATGCCGAACCACTAGGATTTGCACTAGGCAACATCGATCTGGAACTGTTCCCAACAGCAGACCCAAAGAAGGATGTGTTCGATGCAGGAGACGACCGAGGTATCAGCCTTCCGCTCGTGAGAGACGACGACGAAGAAGAAGAGAACTGACTGGACGGCTTCCGGCGGTGAAATGGGGAGCTGCTTCGTCCTCTTGAAGAAGACGCCGACATTCCTCTGTCAGTTCACCGATCGGTCGAGCTAACGCGTACTATACATAGATAGGTGTGTGTGTAACTGTAAGAGATCACATGGAGTCGCGAACAACTTTACAGGAATGTTGAAATTCCTGAGCCAAGGAAAAAGCCAACCAGTAAGTCAGAAGCTTCAGTAGGCTGACACGACTGTTTCTACGTCAGCAGCAGCAGCATCTGTAATTCCTTAACATTCACGGAAAAGAGAAAATGTCATATATTCATCTTCTTCTTCCTCTTCTTCTTATTATAATTATAATAAGAAGGGTTAACTTTTTTCGAAATTGGGTGTAATTATTCTTACCATAATTATTTTTTTCGAAACTGGGTGTATAATTGTATAACTTACCCTTTTTAATTATTTCCAATTTTCAAAAACTTACTCTTTGCATCTGTATAACTTACCTATATTAAAAACATACGCTTTGGATTTGTATAACTTACCTTTTTATATTACTCACATTAATTATTATAAAAATAATAGCTATTATTATATTTATACCTTTTTTAATAATTTTAAATCCACAATTTCAGCCACTTACCATTTTAACATCACAATTATTTACTTACCTTTTGGCCATTTTATAATTATTATAAATATAATAATTATAATAAGTATTACTACAATTTCGGCCACTACAATTATTAACTTACCTTTTTTAATAAGTTCTAATTTTCAATACGTTAATTATTATATTTATACCTTTTTTAATAATT